AAGTGATTAATAATGCAGGGCAGCCTTTTGCTGAGTGCCATTCTCACTCTCCAGGAAGAAGAGAGTCATGCTGCATTCCAGGGCATCAATAATTCAGCCAAAGGTTGGGTTTCCTCTGGGAGGCATGGCTGGCCAGCAGGAATGCTAGCTGCATTATTCGAGACCAGGTGGACACACAAGCTGGCAGATCAGGAGAGCAACTTGGGCAACAGGCAAAGATCACAGACAGCATAGCTGAGCTGGACTACAGTTAAGGCAGCTACATTCACAGCTTGGGGAAAACTGCTCTTTCCCTGTGAGAGCAGTTAAAGACACTGCTGGGAATTCAGGAGAGTGAGCAAGCAGAGCTGAGCTGGATGTGTCCCTCTGCACTACAGCTGTGCCTGCAGCCTACCTACTTACGGCCACCAAGGTTAGGCTTTAAAATAGCACATACAGTGTTTTCTTTGCTGAAAGCATTAGCACCTTCCTCTCCTTAAAGGCAAAGGGAATAAACCCCACTGCTGCCACATCTGTTCTACACAGTGCAGCCTGACTGACTGCTGTCTTCCAGGCTTGTGCAATTTCTCCTTCAGCAGGCCCAGGCTGGTATGCTGGCAGCTGTCAGGGTGGCTGCAGCCCCCTTGCAGGGCAGCTGGTGGCAGAATTCAGGCCTTTATCCCACTTGCAGGGTCACAGCTTTTTCAGCTGAACATTATTTATGAGGCATCATTATAGGGTGATTGTATTCCACCTTAGGTCATAAGGATCGAACCAGAGCCAGGAGTCTGAAACCAGGAACTGTCTGCTGCTCCTGCCAGTGCATTTGGGCCATTGGATTTTCTGAAGCATCTTAACATGTTTTTTCATGGCCAGGGTATATTAATATTTGCACTTCTGGTGATCAGAGATAGCTGAACTGATTCTGCCATAAGAAGACCTCCCATAGGGCTGCATTAGGAAAGAAACCTTTGCCACTTAATCAGCACCTAAAAGTTATCTGGATCTCAGTTGCTTGGGAGTGTTTGGTCACTGGGAATCAGAAAAGCTAGGCTATGGGCCAAGTAAAATTGTGCTAGAGGACAGAAGGAAGCCATTAACAGGACAGCTTTGTTAACTTAGGAGCAAAACAGTGAGGAAAGGATGCAATCCTTCCCTTGTGTATTAACGGACATGTTTCTAATGGAAACATGCTGTCTTGTGCCTCTTGCCTTCAAAATCCTCTCCTGAAGTCACCTTCTGTACTCTTGATTTTTAAGGTGTCCAGTAGCCACGGCGTTATCGCCATTAAGGTCAGAAAGCAGAGGGGAAAAGTCTACTTTATCACCAGAGTTCAGGGAGGTGGAAGAGTCCATCTTTCTCCAGGAGCCTTAAGATGGAGCAAGTCAAGATATAGCTGCTAGTGGTAACTTCAGTCAGCACCCACTGACTTTCCATCAGAACTGATAGAAGACAGACACCTACAATTATTTCCAGACATCCCTCAGAAAATCTGGCTTGCAGCCTGTCTAGAGCAGAGACATCCAATGTGTCACCTTCAGAAGAATTGATGCTAACTCCTACAGGGAGGCCAGAACTGCCACCATAATGTTCTCTGAGGAGGTTTGGGATCAAGCCCATTTACTGATAACTGGAAGATGCAGGTGACCAAAAAAAAAGTTTTATTCTCCTTCAGTGAAGGTAAGAATGTGTGAAGCCTGTGTGCAGGTGCCAGAGCTGTTAGGGATGTAACTGCATCCCTTGGAGGATGCTAACTAGATAATGGCAGCTGGTGAAACAAGTGTCAGTATAGCAAATCCTCATCTGGGATTCTGAATCCTAGAAAAGCTTTAATCCCCGCAGTTGTACAAGCCTAGGAGTTTATTTCCCACTCTCATGGCATCAGAGCTTACAACTACCCTTTTCCTAGAGTTTAGCTTGTAACTGCTCTGCTTTTGTGATGCATTTTCTGAGAGCATAAGAGATGCCATAAAGCCTGCAGGACACTGCCTTGTGGGGGATTACACAGCCTGTTAAGATAGCTGCATACACAGCTATGGAGAAACCCTGCACAGCTCCTTCCCCATGGCTGTGTCTGCCCTGCTCCTGTTGCATCCCCTGTTGTGTCCCCTGCTCCAGGGCAGGGCAGTCCAGCAAGGTGCCCCGATTCTCCTCAGGTTGGAGACTGGCTACGTGGTGCCTGAGGTAAGAAAAGCCATGTAATGGTGGCAGTAGTTTGCTGAGGTCTTTTGTCACGACCCAGGTTAAGCCTAGGCCAAAAATCCTTCCTGCCCTTTAGCCAGCACCTACCTCAGGTTTTATCTGGCAGGTTTCAAAACTGGGATTGCAGCTGGACTAAGCCTCTGGGAATCACTCCAGAACTGGTTTCCTGGCCACCTTCTGCCTCCGTTTCCCCCCTCACTTCAGAGGGCTCAGCAGTGCTACAGCCCTTTTTTTCCATACAAGGTAAACTGTCATGCGCTGGCCAGACACCTCAGCCAGACAGCAATTGCTAATGCTGTCTGAGTGGCACAGCACATAATGGCCAGTCCATTTATCTCCCAGTTGCTGCAGTTCCAGTAAAGCAGCATTTTGTTAAATGCCTGGAGCTGAAGAAAGCATCCCCAGAGCTAGAGAAAACTGAGCTTATTCAGCCAGGTCTTATTCATGGGGAAAGAAGATCTTCTGTGCTGAAGTGGCTGCTACGAACCCAATCTTCACCGCCAACAGCAGACCGTACCTGCTATTTCTGGCTCTTGGTAGTGGCAGAGCAGTGCTCACCCATGCTGGATGAGGACTCTTTGGGGACAGCCCAGATGGGCCTGCTTAGCCCAGCGACCACTTTTCAGAAAGTGGTTCTCCATCTCAGTGAGGCCATTCCTTCCAGCCTCCTTGGCTTGCACAAACACATGCATCCTGCCTACAAGTAACAGTGACCATTTTGTTTCAAGTAATTACTACTGTAACTACTCACATTAATATTCATATGCAAGATGATGTGGAGTAGGTGTAGCAAGCAGAAGCCACTACTTACAAACGCCTCCTTGCTCTAGAATGGTGTGCAGACACTGCTCCTGTGCCTGTCTCCTTCCTACGCCTTGAAGCTGAAAAACCACTTATCAGGGACTTAGAAAACATCTTCTAAACATGCGATTTCTTTACAGTATTTCTTCCTTTCTTCTGCTACCAAGGCCATTTGCATGAGAACAGCATCTTTAAACCTTCCATCTGCTCCTTATTTTGCACCTGTAGTTAATATTTATTTCTTCATAACATATGACTCATTGACAAGATTACAGGAGATGGTATCTGTTTACAGGAGACCAGTTTCTAAAAGAGCCAGGATTATTCCACTGCACAGGCCCTTTGGAACGAGACAGCGCTGCTCTGTTTGTTTGTCAACCCCCACAGCATGGGTAGAACAAGAAGCCCAGTCTCAAAATCACCAGCAGGAGTTCAGCTCTCAGGCAGGATGCTAACCAGCTCTGATTTGCCCCTCTCCTCTCTTGCCTGCCCAGTGGCAGTTTCCCAGTTACACCTGAGGAGCAGGCAGGCTCAGCAGCCACCTCTCAGCACCTGCTGCACACTTTATTCCTCACAGGTAGCCAAGTTTCTTCAGTCTGTGGTTTTGGGACATCACTGCCTCCCGGGCAGGCTCGTGATACCGATGGTTTGATGCCACTTTAGACCAGAGAGACATTGCCTGCTCGGTCTCAGCAGCCCCTTCCCATCTCTGACAGCTCTGTGTTTTGTCAGGTCCTGGCAGCTTCTGCAACCTGACCTCCTGGACGACTGAATTGCCAACCATAAAACACCACTTCCACCCACCTGCCTGACAGAAAGGCACAGACCCCCAGCAGGCCAGCTCACCTGCCTAGGTGCAATTAACAGCTATCTACAAGATGTAAAAATAGCTTAAGGATAACAACCACAGTGCAACCAGCATTCACCCATTTTCCCTGCCTCAGTCCCTGCTGCAGCCAGAAGCATCCCTGCTGCTATTGCCCCTTTATGGAGCACTGCCTGGCCTCCCCACCCAGCCCAGGAACACAGCAGCAGCAGGGTTCAGCTCTGCTCCTGCTGCACGTTACCCAGCACTGCTCACTGCAGATATAGCTATGCAAGACTCAATGCCAGCCCCAAATCCCTTTTCTACCTTCAAGAAAGCTGGAAAAAAACTAAAACAGAGCAACAAAACTGCCCTAAGCCTGTAACTTGTGTTTTAGAAAGGCTCCCTGTGCAGATCCTGGGCTGTACAGTGCGGGATGCTCCGTGCCCTGAGGCGGAACGGAGGAACGGGGAAGACGGCTGCAGGCCAGCGGGGGGAGCAGCCCAGGGCTGGGGCACCCTGCGGTGCTTCCCCTCCGGGCCCGAGGACTCCCCCGCCCCCAGGGCTCCCCACTCCCCCCGATGTGCCCCGTTGCTGTGGCGACTCTCCAGCCCCATCCCCCCCCCAACCTGCATGGCGCGGGAGAAGAAGACGCCCGCATCCGACGCCAGCTTCTTCACATTGAAATCCATGGCGATCAGCGCTGCCGCAGCCACCTCCGCCGCGCCCCCGCTGTCACCGCACCCGCCGCTCGGACCTTTATAGCACCGATCGATGCTTTCCCCGAGCGGCGCCGCGGCCTCTTAAAAGGGCTTTGTCTCCCAGGTGGGGCCCCGCGGCTCAGAAACAGCCATGCGGGCTGCGTGGTATCCAGCGGGCAGTGCCGGAGAGTAGCGTTACACCGCGGACTCTCAGCCGGGCCAGGGGAAACGGGCTGCGGCTCGAGAGGCGGGAGTGTCTCGGGGAGGCGCGGCCCCTTTAAGAGGGGCGGTGGCCGCGGTGGGAGCTGTCAGCCGGCGCCCAATGGGTGCTGGCACCGCCCGCCGCCCTCTTCGCTCACCGCTCAACCGCACTCGGCGCCGCAGCCTGCAGCCGGGCCTGCGGGGAGCGCCCCGATTGGTTCGCCGCAGGGACGATCGCCACTCTGATTGGGTAGGAGTGCGGAGGGGCGGGGCTTCAAGCCTCGTTCAGGGTAGGCTGCGGCGCGGGGGAAGGAGACGCTGCCCTTCCGCGGCCATGGCGCGCGGCGGGGGGAACAAGGTGGCGAGCGGGGCCGGGCGCCCGCGGGTCGCGGTGAGTGGTGTCGGCAGCGCACATCTGCGGGAGCTGGGTGGGCCGCACCGCTGCGTCGTGGGGGTCAGAGAAGGGAACCTCACCGAATAGAAGCGGTCCTAGAGGGGGGGGGGGGGGGATGCGCTGGGTGCAGAGAACGTAGGGATGCCCGGGGTGCGGGCGGCTCAGAGGAGGGCCCGTGGGGGCAGTGGGCCCGAGTGGTGCCCCAGGGATGCCAGGTCCCTGAGCGCCCAGAGGGGTGCAAGGGGCACAGGGGTGCTCGGGGGTACGTTTGTGCGGGGTTATGGAGATTGGTCCAAGGATGCAAACAGCCCAGGGAGCTCTGTTTGCGGGGCTCCAGTTTACTGCAGTGGGGCATCCCGTAGGGAGCATCCTGAGATGCCCAGGGGAGCAGGGCAGTGCTCGAGGTGTAAATGTGTTCTGGTAGGGCCAGCATTGCTTTGCCTTGAAGGACAAGGACAGGCAAGGTTTTCCTTGGCTTTGTGCTGTGTCCCCACTGCCAGTCAGGTGTAGTAACCTGCAGGCTGAACAGTGTCCCCCGGATTCTTTGCACTTTGCTCGTCTTTGTTCTGCTCTAGCCAGAATGTTACATTTAACCTCGTTCTGCAAGCTCCTGGTACTCTGGTCCCTTGAGACTGTTGCCAAATGTGGCTCCTTAAGGGGCTGTGCCAGCCCTGGAGGCTGCGAGGTGCAAGGTTGCAGTGCGATGTGGTCAGGTAGATGCAGGGTTATCACGTGGCTTTAAAACATGGGATGGGTTTCACTTGTCGGTGTGGGAAGGCACCTGAAAAGGCACCAGAGTGCTGCGTGGCAGGAGCGTGGCTGCACACGGGTAAGGGCAGTGTTTCCAAGTGCATTGCTGTGAAGGCTGGCCTGGCTGGGAGAGCAGGACTAAAGCGTTTATAACTTTGTGGTGGTTAAAAGATACTTCTCTGGTTTCAGTGCATCATTTTTTTGTATCTCTGTCCTTGACATGAAGCAGAGCCCTGCTTCCTGGCTTCCAGCACAGCCAGGAAAGCTCTACTAAACTCAGGTTGCTTTGAAACCTCCTGGGAGAAATTGCCAATTGTGAAATAAGCCTTTGCTAAGTAGCTCTTTACAGTGACAGAATCAAGGGCTAGCAGTTTTGCTGATTAAGGTGCATATGTGGTTATTTGGAATAATCATGTTATTTATATGTGTTTTTTTTTGTTTGTTTTGTTTTGTTTTTTACATGGGAGCTGCGAAAAGTTCTGTCCAGCCACATGCAGCCCATTGCAGAGCATGTGCAAATCTCTGGCACAGCTTCAGCTTTTGAGTGCAAGGACCGTGCTGCCACTATAGAGCAGTTTGTGAACCTTACCCCTGTGTGAGAAGCAACAATTGCTGCTATGGATGGGGAGATGCTTTAAAGCTCAGGTTTGGCTCTAGCAGCCTTGTTGCTCTGAGTGAGCTGGTGTGCTGTTTGTGAAGTGCAGTACAGGGAAGTACAGGCTGTGTGTTACCTTCACTCACCTGATTCTTCCCTCCTCCTTCAGAATTGCTGGATGAAGGCTGACTCCAGGACACTGAGCTCAATGTCAGATGAAAGCTGGATTTCCGTGTGAGTGGCTCGCGCAGCATCCATCCACAAGTGCCCTTCCCCTTCGTGACTCCTGAGGTGCTGAGGTCATCCTTTAGCCATGGCATTTAGAAGAACTGAGGGAATGTCCATCATCCAGGCCTTGGCAATGACTGTGGCAGAGATCCCCGTGTTTGTGTACACAACGTTTGGACAGGTACAGCAAGAGAAAAGTCTTTTGGTTCCTTGGGCTTTGTCTCTGGAGATTGTCTGCCAAGAAAGAAGAATCTGTGTTAATTGAGAGGAATAGAGGCATGATGGTGGGAGAACCTGTCAGTTTGTTTAGTTTGTATGTAGGGGCCAGGGTAATGAGGATGGATTTGGAGTACGGTGAGAGAAGTTTTTCCACATCACTCTATGGGACAACGCCTGAATTCCACCTTTCTTCTCTTCAAGGGCACTAAGTGCATATATACAATTAAAGATTATTGGTATATTTTCCATTGGTAGTAATGCAGTGTTTGGGGTAGCAAAGGTCAGCTACATACCAGGGTTTCAGAGCTGAACCTGGGTGACTCAGGTCTCGTCTGTTATGGACTGTTTGTGAATGTTACAGCTTGTTTTGGCAATGAGAATTGAGACCAGTTTCCCCAGGTTCCATCACATTGGTGCTATGCAGTTTCTCTCCTGTTAAGCTTCAGCTGTGTAGCAGATAATGGGAGGAGTCCTACGGGTGGGAGGGGAAATGCCAACGTACATTTCAGGTATCTCATCTTTACAACTGCTTAAAATTAAAAATACACATATATTAAAAGAAAGGATGGTAGACTTTGGTTTTTCACTGTTGCTCTTTCGTGTCTTTTGTGTTTAAAGTCTGTCTTCTCTCAGCTGCGGCTCTCTCCAGGCCTACGTAAGGTACTGTTTGCTACAGCTCTTGGGACAGTTGCGTTGGCTCTTGCAGCTCATCAGCTGAAGCGACGTCGTCGCCGAAAGAAGCAGATTGCTCCAGAGAAGTGTGGCTTTAAGCCTGGAGGCGTCACAGTGCCCATTCTGCCAACCAGAAGGGTCTCTTCTGTGAAGAAAGGTTGGTCTTGCGATAAAAGGGAGACCCCGAAACCATGTAGCAAGGGAGTGAAGAGAATATTGCTGAAATAGTGTTCAAAGAAAGGGGATGTATAAGCAGCGGTGGGACCATAGAACGTTCCTGGCAAGTGGGCAGAGAGGAAAGAAAAGTGATTTCTGTGCACTAGTTGATGTAGAATTGAATTAGAGATCTGAAGCACAGTGCTATGAACACAGGGTTAGTGCAGGAAAGGGAGAGATGCTGAGCTCAAAACCCTTGTGACTGGGGGAGGGGAAGTGACGCTGAGGTTTTCCCTAAGGCATGTAGTTCCCCTCCCCCTGCCCACACAAAGTCTATAGACTTGTTTTGCCATGCCTCCCTGATAATAACAGCCTGGGGCACACCATGACCTGGCTGCATATTGACTTTGGTGATGCCTGTGGGTGCTGTGTGCATCTACATCTGCCTGGGGCAGCATGGAGAGGGTGGTGGCCTAGCTGTGGGTCAGGAGTGTCTGTCCCAGCTGCTGAAGCTCCCAAACCATGGGCAGCTTCTTCACCCACTTGTATTGTTTGTTCAGGATAAGGCTGACCCAGCTCCTCATTAAACACTGTAGGGGAAAGAAATAAAACAAAACAACAACAAAAACCCTTGAAGCATGCTAAATAACTATGGAAGCACCATTGTTTGTGCTATGTCCGTGTTCTGCCCAGCCTAAGGGAAGCTGGAGGAGTTTCTCCTTGATGCTTTCCATTTGTGCTCGCCTCCTACCATCAAAGGCAATGCAAGTTCATTCCTCAGCCTCAGGTCCCTTTATAGCAACTTGCTTTGTGTCTAGAACAAAATAGACTGTAAAGGAGACGTGACTCATTTCTAGGTATTGGATGCTGCCTTGCCTATCTGCCGTCACGCTTGACAGGGCAACATTCCTCTCCTTAAACCACAGCTGCAGTGAATCTCTTTCGCTCTGTGCCGGGTTTTCCTGTGACTGCTGTAGTTTCTAATGTGGACTGCACATTCTGTAGCTTGCAGGGTTCCCATGCCCAACAACATTTGCCGTGACAGGAGAGCCTGTCTCCATCCCCTGCATGCACAGGCCACCAGGTTTAAAATCCTGTTTTTGTGTGACCTTAACTTCAGGATACTCCAGCAAGAGAGTCCAGAGTCCCAGCAGCAAAAGCAACGACACGCTCAGCGGGATCTCCTCCATCGAGCCCAGCAAACATTCCAGTTCCTCCCACAGCCTTGCCTCGGTAAGGATCTTCTCAGAAGGGTTGAGAGAAGCAGGGGTGACAGATTAGTGCATCTCCATATAACAAGACCACCAGGTCCATGGGCTTGTGCTGGCTGATGGATAATGCCAAGATTCTTGAAGTAGGAGAGGTTATGGTGTAACTGGAGGGCAGTCTTGTTGTAATTCAGCAGTGATGGTCTGGAGCTGTCTGAGGCAGGCATGCCTCTGGAATCACAGGAGTGTTTTTTCTGACCAAGAGCCCCAGGGTGTCTGTGGTCAGCAAGAGGCTGTGGAGGGACTTGTGTGTGGGATGCGGCCATGATTCCTTCAGGCTATCTATGCCCTTCTACAGGAGCAAGAATGAATTGTTACTGGAACTTGCAGCGGTGGGAAATTTGTTTCCTTCTGTAGTGGGGTGTTAGATGGACCAACTCTTGTGTCATTGCAGCCCTTCTGCCTCTATACAGGCTACTCAAGGTTGTTCAATTTTTAAAACCACATTAACTTCCAAAAAACAGATAGCTCTGTTAATGAAACAGCGCAGGCTGGGATGCAGCCCAGTGGTTCTACGTCCTTCAAAGCAGAAGCTGTCACTGTGTATATCCACCTCTTGTGAGACCAAAGGCAGAAACGCTGGGGAATGTTTGTGGCTTCAGAGCCTGTTTGATATCCTCACTGCTAAAAGCTGGAGCAACAGAAGGCACAAGTGAACAGCAGCTTCCAACACCGTGATGTGCCACAAAACTCCTTGGCATCAGTTGCAGGAGCACTTGTGCTTGGTGTTTCACTAGCAGTGCTGGGGAAGGAAGGAGAAAAATCATCTAGCCACAATGCAGGTACTGCATTATTTTTAGCACGCTCTGATATTTGAAGAACCAGAAAGCTGACAAAAATTTGTGCTGGCCGAAGTGTGTCTCCAGCAGGCGGCAGTGCTGGCACGGGGTGCAGCCTGTCTGTTTTTCCCTGGGTAATTGGGACAGCATGGGATGCGCCTGTGCCCAGCCCTGGCCTCCTCCCCCTCCATGGACTCGCAGTCATTTAATTCCCCTTGGCTTCTCCCTTCCCGCAGATGCTGTCTGGGTTTTGTAATGCTGAAAGCTGTTTCTCTTGACATAAAAGTATCTGAATTCTTTTTTTCCACTGCTGGTCCTTGAGTAATGATATTCACACTGAGAAATCTGTTCCAATACCCCTTCACTGTGTGGCAGCTGAACTTCTGTGATGTTGTCCTCATTGCTTTTATGTTATCTGATGGGAGAACAGCTCATCCTTCACACAGCTGCAGGTTCTGCCTGCTGTCTTGCCTGGTTTCCTGAGCTTTGTCACTTATTTACTAAGTCAGCAGCAGTGAATTGCTCTTTGCAGTCCTGGATCTGAAAGTGATTTATTACGACTCCACAGAGATGAATCAATGAGGGCATGGCTAGAACTGTCTATCAGCCATTTATTGTAGCTTTTTCTCTAGCATCAGGCTCACATTTGGGCATTTTATCTAAGTAATCTGAAAACAACTATGAAAATACTGATCATTGATTTTATCTGAACCCAGCTCTTTGTTTTGTCAGACTTCAGAAGATGCTTATGCACAGGGGTGAAACTTGAGCAAGCTGGCAATTTGCATTGTGGATCTTAGTGCTCAGCCTTCCCGTGACAAGGTTTAGTTACAAAGAAAGAGCTGGAATTTCCCTTGGCCAAATTCCCCAGCTGTATTTTTGCTGCTAATCTGCTGCTTTTTTCGGAGTGCGGTTACTTCTCCCACTTCCAATGTCCTTCTGTATGGAAAGCTGGGGCTGACACAAACTTTGTATCAAAATGCTTGTGCTGTTGTAGTGTTTCCTTTGAAGTTTTCTTGGGCTGTTGCCTCCAGAGGTGCTGTCCTACTTGTGCTCATAGTTGCACACCTCGCTGTTTCCTAATGAAGCCTCACTGTAAATTGGTGAGGGAAGGTATTTCCTGCTTGGATTTCTGTGCTTTCAAAGACACTGCTGTGGTGCCAGGTGGCAAAGAGCAGGATTTCTTGTGTCCCCTCTTAACAGCTCTTGGCAGTTGACAGCATGGTGTGAACCTGCATGGGAAGGGGCTGGTAATTGTTCATACCACCCCTTACAAGGCAAGGGAGTTTTAATGCTGACCCTCCTGGAGATATTTCAAAAGGTATTTGCCTGCTTGCGCAGGGGGGTTGGACTTGGTGATCTCTGGAGGTCTCTTCCAATCCCTACAATTCTGTGATTCCTGCAGATGGTAGCTGTGAATTCTTCGAGTCCAACACCAGCATCGGCTGGGATGTGGGAGGCCCAGGCCATGGGGGATGGTGGAGCCATCGGTGATTCCAGTGCAGAAAGCCTCTATGTTCAAGGTAAACAAGCACAGGAGTTAACTTCACCCTCTGGGGTTGTTTATCATGGGAAGAGCAAAAATAGGGTGTGAAGTGGCATAGATCATCAGCAGCTGTATGTCTATGCAGTGGAGGTTCACCTTTGTGTTCTAATAGCAAGCTTTCTCCCATCCTTGGCTTAAACTCAGTCACCTGTTGGTTGCAAGATCTCAGAGCTTTCTTTGGTTGTGCTGCCAGGTATGGAGTTGTTTGAGGAGGCCCTGCAGAAGTGGGAACAGGCACTGACCATCAGGCAGCGGGACAGTGCTAGTTCCAGCACTCCTGTGCCCTGGGACAGCAAGAAACACCAAGAGAACTTGTCTGAGAATGCCTTAGAGGTAGGTCCCCCTCTTTTCTCTTGCATTCGGCAGCTGGGAAACATGCCAGAAGGCCAGACAAGATGCTAGTAGTAGTAATAACTAATAGGATAGAAGAAGAGCAAATTAAGGGCAGAGCTGGGCCAGACTGTTTAAGAGCTGTCTACATCTGTGGCTTCCTTATGCAGTGTGAGTGGGTGATTTTTTATTTTTTATTTTTTTCTTTCTAATAAGTCTCTCCCCCTCATTCCTCAGCTTTTCTGCCCACCTTCCAGAACATGTCAGTCACTGTCATGCAACTGCTCAAGCAGCAGAGACTGCAGTAGGAAAAGGCTGTAACAAATGCAGTGCCTGAGAGAAAGAAAGAGCTTTTTGCCTGGCTGTGTTGTGTCTATAACTCTTTAACACGTTGAAAGTTGAGATCTTGGTGGTCACTCTCACTTCCTAGGGAGGTGAGTGGAGAAGCAGGATGCAGCTGCTTGTGTGTATTAATGACTAAAGCAAAGTAGCTGCTAAGAATGTCTCTGTTCACAGAACAAGTGGAGGGGGGAGATGTGTAACTTGTTCCACCTACAGAACAAGTATTTTAGGACAACGTCTTGTCTTGGACCTGATGACTGTGCTGGGCAGACCTCTGATAAAAGAGGAGATCCAAACTAAGAAGGCTCCGTGATGACTGACTATGAAGCTAAACAGAGCAGCTGTAGCTCAGGTTTGTGAAAGGAGCTAAACTCCAAACATTCCAGGAGTTCTCAGTGGTAAAAAGTGTTTCAAGGCTGTCATAAATAGGGCCTAGTGTAGTAAGTGTATCGGATATTTGCCTTCTGGAGTGGGTATTTATGCAAGTCAAATCTGTGTTCTTGCTGTTACTTTTTAAAGCATCCTATAGAATGGCTTGGGTTGGAAGGGACCCCAAGGATCATCAAGTTCCACCCCCCTGCCACAGGCAGGGCCACCAACCTGCATAGTGTTTCTGCAAACAAATCCAACATCAAAATAGATCCTGTGCTTCTTACTAATGCTTCTATCTACTGGGTGACATATTCACACAGACACGGGGCATGAGGGCAGGATGCTGTGTCTTATTTTCCTTTTTTCTTCTTGTGCTTACAGCAAGCTTTGCTTGTGCCCAGCACCTTAATCCAAGGACACTTCTGCCATTATCCAGTTCTGGATACACCTCTGTATTCAACACAGGTTCTGTGATATATGACTTCAGCCTAATTTCATTGAAGAGGGAATCACGAGTCAGGAGAGTTAAGTTACTGTAACTTGTAAACATACCTGTTTCTCTGGATAGCAGACTGAAGTTCTTTCTTTTTTAACAGGAATACAAAATTGTGAAGCTAAAATTCCAGAGGATTTGAATAGGCTCTATAGAAGCATTCTTCCCATTACAATATTTGCTGTATTGTAGGATTGAGTTCTCTCTCTTTTTCTCCTTCTCTCTCTCTCTTGCATGTAATTTAATCTGTAAATTCTATGGCATTTATGTTCAAGGAGGAGTCTCAGAAAAGGGAGTTTGCTGAGAAGTTGGAGTCCCTCTTGCACCGAGCCTACCACCTCCAGGAGGAGTTTGGGTCTTCACTTCCATCAGACAGCATGCTGCTGGATCTGGGTGAGCTGGGTGTGAAATACATTAGTTAAACTGCTTTTCTGCTTTTCTTTTCCACGAGCAAAGCAAAAGAGTGTTGGCAGAATGCTCTTATGAGGGTGAGAGAGAGAGCATAGTGACTGTAGGAGGAATAGTAGTCTGTGAACTCCAACACGTGTGGCTTCTTTGTCTCCTCCAGAGAAGACTTTAATGCTTCCGCTGACGGACGGGTCCTTACGGCTTCGGACAGATGATGAAGACAGCTCAATTTCTGAGGACTCCTTCTTTTCTGCAGCAGAGGTAACTTAAGTTCCTACTGTGCGTAGCAGAGCGGCTGCTTGGAGGGAAGCCACAAAGACAGTGGAGCCAATCACATCTTAATAAAGGAAAATGATAAAACATGGAGCAACAGCACCAGATTGAACAGACGTTAGGAAAAGCTTTTTCATTAAGGTGATGGTGCAGCCTTCCCTGGAAAGATCAGGAAATCTCATTATGTGGAGGCTTTCAAGGCTTGCCCAGAACGACCCATAACTGACCTGATCTATGTGGGTAACCATTCTTCTTCAAGTGGGAGGCTGGAGGTCCTTTTCATCCAACATCTTGGGTCATCTTCCTATCTACTGTAGAAAACATGCTAAAACAGCTAGGAAAATGCTGTGTCTAATGTAATGTGGCTTGGTTGTGTATTTTCAAGGAATACTGAGCTGTGTGAAACTGGTGGGAAGGAAAATATCTTTGCATGAAATAATTGGGGCTGACAAAAGTTTGCCAGCTAAAGAAGGAATGTCTTGCTTGAGTGCAGTCCCCAAGTATTTACAAATATTTAATGAGGTCATTTGTTTTTTTTCCCATGCTTCTTGCTACCGTTTCAGCTCTTTGATTCTCTTCACTTTGAGGAAATACCATTCCATCTATCAAAGCCAGTAGCAGCATATGAAGAAGCCCTGCAGCTAGTGAAAGAAGGGAAGGTTGCATGCCGGACATTGAGGTGAAGTGCCACCTGGAGTTGTGGATGTTTGTGTCAGGGCTCCTTTGAGCAATATGAACACAATATTTACCTTTGAACAGCCCTATAAAAAGATTAACCCTTTGGGGCAGGAAACTCCTAGCATCTTTGTTGTTTGGACTCCTAGCATCTTTGTTTGGTTTTTCTAGATTTTAGGTGCATGGTAAGAAAGGATATTATCCCAGGAAGTTAATAATAATAATAATGTTCTGTGTGGTGGGTTGCACAGTTCTATGCTGTGACAGCCTTTACAGCGATACTGTGATCCTTCAGGGAACTACACAAAGGAAACACACTTATTACTTTCTTGTAGGCAGAGCCTGGAATTTTTTTTCTTAGAAAAGCATAGTTGTTAGGGTCACAGATATTAGGAGAACTGAAATTTATGCATTCATTGCCTTTTCCCTCTAGGACAGAGCTCCTTGGCTGCTATAGTGACCAGGATTTCCTTGCAAAGCTGCACTGTGTCAGGCAGGCCTTCAAGGTGAGAATGGTTCAGTGAAGGGGTGTGAGGCTGGCTGTCCTTGTGGTTCCTGCATTGCCATGGCATGTTGCCCCCAGCAGTGTGTTCTTTTATGTCCATGTGGGACTGAAGTCTTTTCCCTCTAGAGCAAGTGAAAACAGAAACAGTCCAAGCTTCTGTTACTTAACTTTGTAATTATCATTGACTTGATTTGGAGAGGAATAAGTATCCCCTAGTCCCCATGCCCAGCTTGAGTGGTGATTACCTGGCTGCCTCTTTGCTGATCTAGTGTTGGAATGTGAAAGCTTGGGAATTGCAAAGCTGGCCAGAAGCTGTCACTCCCATTCATGGAGACTTCTTTTGTTCCCTTTGCAGGAGCTGCTGGAGGATGAAAGCAATCAACTGTTTTTTGGAGAGGTTGGGAAGCAAATGGTGATAGGATTGATGACAAAAGCTGAAAAGGTAGGAAGCTTGAAAGTGGCTTATTTCTCTTGTGGGCACAGGAACACTTGTTCCAATGCACTAGACAAATTATGGACTGTAGAAGGAGAAAACTTGATCTGTATGTAGGTGACCATTGTGGAAAGTAAATTGTCAATGTTTTTAGTCTTGTTCAACCAAATTCTCAGGAAAGAGGCTCTCTGCAGCTCCTGTCCACAGTTTGACACTGTGCGTTATTACAGAGAGAGCAGAAGGTACAGAGTACATCATAGGAATATTCAAATACAGAAAAGAGAAATAATAATGAAACCTCTGCTTCAACCACATCATCTCCCAAGCAGAGAGATGCTTGCACGGTTTAATCTTACTGGACTTGGTTTGTGTATAGGTGCCTCTAACCACTTCCTTGAAGACAGCTAAGTATGTGCTTTAAGTCACAGCTGAGCCTGGGGCTGTCCGTGCCTCCCACAGAAAAAAGTATTTCCATACAAAGTGTGTGTTGGCTGAAAAATTCAGCCAGTGGCACGTGTTGATGTTTGTTAGCTCAAAATAGAGAAGTAAGCCTTCGTTATGATGTGTCCACAACTGCTGTACCTTCTGAAGTGTTTTTTCTCTGCTCTTGCAGAATCCCAAAGCTTTTCTGGAAAGCTACGAGGAGATGCTGCATTATGCACTGAAGCCAGAAACCTGGCCGACCACACAGCAGGAGCTAGAGGGAAGAGGGGTTGGTAAAGACATTCTCTCTAAACGTTGGAGAGGAGTTGGAGAGTAATGGATATGTAGGAACAACCATGGAGTGAATGAATGGCTTCTGAAATATGATTACTCTGCAATTGTACGTTGTGAGGGAGGCCAGGGGGAAAAGTGCCTGGCTGAGTGTTTAAGCTTCACAGCAAATCTTGCTTTCAGCAATGTTAGCACTACTGTGTTTTGAAAGTAAAAATAATGGGGGAAAAAAAAACACCACATCCTCTTTCTGGAGGGCATGAGCTAATGTGTGTAGCTCTAAGATTTGCTTGCCCTTTTGACTGGACTTTTCCTGGACTCAGGAATTGGAAGCCCCTTGGCCAGCCCCTGTCTGGGGTTTGGCCAGTGAACTGAATGAACACAGCTTCCTATGCTGGTGGCAAACACTGTTTTGTTGTTTCAAAGTCCATCTCTTTTTTTTTCTGTAAACCTGTTTCCTTTACAGACTGCTCTGCTCTCTGACAGGTGGTGTGCATGAGTTTCTTTGATATTGTGCTGGATTTTATCCTCATGGATGCTTTTGAGGATTTGGAGAATCCACCTTCCTCTGTGCTGGCTGTGCTGCGCAACCGTTGGCTGTCCGACAGCTTCAAGGAGACGGTGGGTTAACCAGGCAGTGCTTGTGTCCAGCAATGCCAAAGCTAGGAAAGATGATCATACAGCACTTTGACTGGCCTGGCAGAACAGAACAGTGTTTTCTCTTTAGAAACACTGTATTTTCTCGAAACTCTCAACAGCAGTCCTCCAGTAAATCAGCTATCTGCTCAAAGTCTGTATTCTGGGGCATGTGGCAGCTATGCCAGATTGTATTAGAGATCTTCAAAAACACTTTGGTTTGTCTAGAATGGATCTGTGGTGGCCAAACCTGCTTCCAGCTCGGATGGATTTTTCCTAACTAATTTTAGAGTTGTTGGCACAAAAGGGCCACTGCTTTGATGTTTCGATGGCAATGTGTTGGCAGGCTGTTTTTTTCTTCAGAAGAGTAATCCCAGCAAATTATGGTCTCTTTGTTAATTGTAGGCCCTAGCAACTGCCTGCTGGTCTGTTCTGAAAGCAAAAAGGAGGCTTCTAATGGTAAGCAAGATTAATGAAGAGGGAAAGAATCAAATGCATTTGAAGCTGAAAAGATTTCACCAAGATCTTGATGAAATGCAAAATCTTTGTGGTATAAGAATGAACTGAATTGCATTCTCTCTGCTTTAGAGTGCTGAGGTCCTGCTGTCATTTCTCTGTACCAGTGCAACATCAGTGTTTTACAGTTCTTTGTGTATTTCCACTTTTTCTTAATAAGAAGATCCAGAGGATAATGTTCTCCATTTGTTATTCCCTATCCTTGCTCACGATCCCATAGGAATGGTCTCAGTTGCTCTCTGAACTGTAGTTTGCCTGTTGGCAGTGCAGTGACTGGGCTCACCTGCTCTCCTGCCTCCCAGTGCTGACTACTGGCTACTTTGTGCATTTCCCTTAAATCTGCTGCTTTTTTAAGTACTGCAGCAAATGAGTTTGAGGACCTGGAGAACAGGAAGCTGCAACTGCACAATCCCTACTTCTACTGCAGGGACTGTGGCCTCTGGCAAGTGTTCAGCTTCTATCCCACAGCTAGCTGGTATGACAGGGTTTGCCTTGTGAGATGATGCAAAGAGTAATGAGTACATTGGAAGCTGTATTTCCACGCAGAATCTCCATCTTAGCTATCTGGAATTTTTTGTGCTCATTCCTGGCTTACTTTGGAGATTGCAAGTAGAGTTGGTAAGGACTGCCTGATGGTCGCCTTCCATCTTCTATTTATTCTTCTCCTGAAAGAGTAGCTTAGGAACATAAAGATAGAAAGCTCAAGTCATCCTTCAAGAAATCTGATGGATAACTGTAATTCTGCAGGAAGAGAGATTCTTAAGCAGCTCTTCAGTTACTGAAGCACAGTGCTGGCATGGTAGTTCCAACTGTGGTAGCTGATATGGAACAAGCTGCTAATTCTGTCTGAGAACTGAGACCTACCAATTTTTCCCTTCCTTGTGGCAGGTACCAGATGGCTTTATCTCTCACTTCTACTCCGTATCGGAGCATGTCAGTCCTGTTCTAGCCTTTGGTTTTCTGGGGCCCAAGCAGCAGCTCGCTGAAGTCTGCAGTTTCTTCAAGGTAGGATGGCTTTCCTATAATATATATATAGCAGGCATACAAAATTCCTTGTGGAATAGGTGGTACTGGAAGGTATGAGTGAAGGTCTCCTTACTGTAAAACTCCCTTTTATCTTTGCAGCACCAGATAGTACAATATCTGAAGGACATGTTTGATCTGGACAATGTGAGATACACAACAGTGCAGCTGCTGGCAGAAGACATCTTGCAGCTGTCACGGAGGCGCAGTGAGATCCTCTTGGGATATCTGGGCACAGAGAGCTCCCCTGAGATGAATGGCACACTTCCCATTGAAAACGAGCCGCTGAAGGAGCTCATCTGATGGCAATCAGAGGAGGAAAACAGTTTTGTACAAGGACTTCTTTCCTCACAGAATTGGATTAAACTACCTGCAATGGTCAGTGGTGGCCACAAGACTATCTCAACACACAGCGGCCTGGTGGGACCTTCTGCTTTTTGTAGCCAGTACTGTTTGCTGGATGGATCCAGGACCACTTGCCAGCTTATGGTTTGAATTTTGTCTTTGTTCCACCCTTCCGTACCTTTTGTTATTTTTAATGTGTTAGATAAATCATGAGCTGAATGGGCTGAGACTTTTGCCAGTTCTCTTGAATAGGGCAACCCATGTACCTATTTGGCCTATGCGTTATCTGGCAGAAGGCTCCTCAGATGTTTATGGCTGTGTTGGAGGAGCAGGAACGTCACTGATAAATTTTCCACTTGACCCTTGGCTTCTCAAACAGGTTTATGTTGCTTTGGGATTTTTATTACTGTGATTTTTCTGCTGTGTTTCTACAGATATTACTGCTGATTTGACTTGACATATTTTAACACATGCAACATGACTAGCAATTTTTATCTTTTTTTCCCCAGGGAGGAAGTCGTAGTTCTGTAAAGCACTGAAGTAAAACACAGACTTTTGTAACCGATCTGTAACTCTGAGGAAGCTGGTCTGCTCCCTCCACATTGCTGTTCTTTGCAGGCCAGATGACTTGCTGTGCTGTGGTCATCTTTCCTTAGGAGATTGCTGAGGGCTGTTTGCCCTAAAGGCAAGTTATTGTGTGGAGGGGGTGGATTTGCATCCTGCCTGTGGACACACAAAGTCTTTAACATCCATCAAAGTGCCTTGCTGTATTTCAGAATTAGCCAGCAGCAGTTCTTGCTAAGTAAGAGGAATGCAGAGTGAAGTACACAAGCACAGGGAACTGGTATAGATAGCATGGTGCCTGTTCCTATTACACACAAGGCCAGAAGACAGATGGATGTTGGATGTATATACAGGAGAGATTGTGCAGGTACTTGAACTGGGATCAAGCTGCTAGAGAGGAAACTTTTTTTTTTTTTTTTTTTTAATACTTTGTTTATCCTAAGAAACACAATGTATAGTTTTGGTTGTGTAGTAAATGCACGTGTATGTAGTGCTGAGATGGGCTCTTCTCGTGTGATGTGATACTGACTGCACAGCTGGCACCTGAAGCCTGCCTGGATCATTCTCTGAATAGGAGATTAGGTTAGGATAGCAGCATTTGAATGTGCTAGACTTGAGAAATTCATGGGGTTTGTGCAAGGTTTGCAATGATGTACTGAGTCCTCTGTGCCTGTAATGCTGCAGATGAAGGCTGAAGGTGCAGCCTGTCCTTCCTCCTGTTTTTGTCCACTGAGGGTCTCAGAGCCCAGGCTCAGAGCGAGGAGGTATTCAGGGAGAAGAAAATGGGG